GCAAAGTATGGTGATCGTGATTGTAATGCAAGCGTTTCTGCGATTTCCCTTGCTTTTGTACGTTATCTTGTAACGCTACACACGGATTAAAAGCAAAAGTATGGTGATCGTGATTGTAATGCAAGCGTTTCTGCGATTTCCCTTGCTTTTGTACGTTATCTTGTAACGCTACACACGGATTAAAAGCAAAAGTTACAAAGAGATAATGGAAATTATCACCGACTTAAGAAGCTCTTGATTGTTAAGCAAAGTTTCCTCAGCGTCTTACAAAATTTATAGAGAACAGTCTATGGAGAATGTGTGGATACTTATGCTAAGGTGTGCAGGATTTTCAAAATATATATCTCATTTGTCCTAATGTTTCTCTTTTTCTCTACAGGACTACATCAAAGTCATGCGGCTGTTTGTTGGTGAGCCAGTTTGGACACCTCATAACAGGCCAGCGGATGATTTCCCAGCACGCTGTGAATACCTGAAGAACATGCAGGCTGGAATATTTTCAGAAGCCTAAGAAAACAAACCTGTCAGCTTTTTAAGGGAATTTGAATATAGAAAATTTGAATATAGAAAATTTGAATATAGAAAATTTCAATATAGAAAATTTCAATATAGAAAATTTCAATATAGAAAATTTCAATATAGAAAATTTCAATATAGAAAATTTCAATATAGAATATAGAAAGTTATAGAGAGACTCTTATAACTTAAGATCACAAGTTTGGGAAAGTACTACATAGAAGTAACCTGCAGGGCTCGACACTAACTTTTCAACTTACTAGCCAAGAGGCTAGTGACGACTTAGATGTTATGACAAGTTCAGTTTGTTTACTAGCCAAACTGGCTTGTAGAAATCGAAAACACCAGTCAAAACTGAATTTCTACTAGTCTGTGGCTAATGGGCTACCGTTATTGTCGAGCCCAGAATCTGCTAAGGAATTGCACAATATGCACATATTGGAAACTCTTTTCACTTATTTGTGATTCTCTTTTTCAATGAAGTTATAGGGTTGGTAATGCTGTGGCCAGTTGAGTGGTTTGTTCAAGTAAATCTGTTGTATTCTAGTAAACAAAACCCACTTAATTAGTCTGCCTTTGTGCAATTTCCATCAGACTAGTTGTTCAATATACAGTTATCTTTCAGGCAGGAGTAAAACCTTTTATGAGTAAATGTTATTTGAGAAACTTTCCTCAGGGCTCAGGGTGTATAAATTCTTCTGATTGGATTACTCAAAACAGAGTATAAAAAAAAATCAGGGATTGTCTGCAGACAAGACCTCCCTATTGTTATGGAATTGTTAAAGGTTATAATTTATCAAGAGGAGTGCAGGTCTAGTAGTGTTACTGACTTTTTGTTATCCTTGTGTGGGGATTTTGATTTGTACCTAAGAAAAATAAAAGCGGTATTTATCTCGAAGGAAAAACGCCTCATTATTTGTGTGTGTTTTTTTCTGGATTCTGTTAAATTGATTGAAATTGATGATCAGGAAGAGAACATCACGAGACATCTTTTAATCTTTTCGCCCCAAGGAGGGATTAAATTCTTGTTTCTCCTCACAGAATTACAGCTGAAGGCTGAAAGAGTGCTTGATGACCGAGCGCTCGCTGTAGCGCTTGTCCGATGTAAGCAACGTGCATGAGAATTCAAATGCGCCAGGTCCTTGCTTTCGCGCGTTTTGGTCCATGTTATTCAAGCGCACGCGTAATAGGCAGGCCCCGTCTCGCCTAACTTGTCACGTAGAATGGATGACCGTAAGGTGTAACGGATGAGTTGGCAACGACTTCGCTCAAATTGTTCTGATTTTCTGACAGCCATAGGGTAATCTATAGCCCCGAGACGGTCTATTTGTTCATTACATTTAAATTTCTCATTAGAACTGAAGGCAAAACTTGTTATTACGCTTGCCGAGCTCAGCTTTCCCCAGCAACCGCTGACAACACTGTACTGATCTTTCTTCAGATTCATTTGGATCAATGTACATACAGTTATGGGTTTTTAGTCTGAAAGCATGCTGTGAACGCTTTCAGCCTACACTTTCTCTCAGATGGGAAGCCACATGCGTTCAAATGTTTAAAAACTATAGCGTTCGATGCTAACCTTACCCCCTCAAGAAACAATGAATAAACTCAGTTGAAAGAAATTCAACGATTGGAATGATTCGATATAACGCTTTTTGTGCTCTTGGCAATGATGAATAAACAAGGTTTGACTTTTTTTCTATTATCCAATTCAGGGCTGTGTTACAATGATCTTTAGTAGCGCTTAAGACATCTTCGCTTTGTGCGTGAAGTAATTTTTATCTGCAAGACTGGTTTTAGTACTATTCAACAATTATTCGCCGAAGGCAAGGTGAATATCGTCGAATAATCCCCGAGACGAAGTCGAGGGGATTATTCGACAATATTCACCGAACTTGAGGCGACTGATTGTTTTAGTATAATTTCAGAGCTGAACAACAGAGAAATTTCTAAAAAATCATAACAATTTAGTAACATTTACTAACATTTTAGTTTAACACTTTATATAAACCACGCGGAGCGGTTTATATAGCGTCCTATAAGGAACCGCTCGACCAATCAGATTGCTGGAAACTCTTTGTTCAGCTCTGAAAAGAGTCTTTATTGTTTCACAGTTTCCATACTAGAGGTAAGTACGTTTTCCGGTTTGTCATTGTTAGTCAATTAGCCTCTAGACGATTTCGCAATTATAAATTTCACTGCAAGGCTAAACACTCTGAAATACAAAGGTTCTTGTTTAAAGATTTTGTCAAGCTACTTTATTCCATTCATAGACAAGAGAAAAACGAGATAAATTTCTTGTTCGGCTTGAGTTTTGTAAATAATGTTCAACAAGTTACTGGAAAAGCAAATTCAAGAGAAGATTTCATTCTCGAAATAGAAAGAAAAATGTATTGTAAGTCTATCTTGTCAAGACGGTATTGCTTGAGTTCGAGTTCGAGTTTTGTCAACTCGTAAAAATCAAAGTCATTATGACTAAATGTAATTAACTTAAGCTTTCATAAAAATCCAGGATTCCTTTGGCTGAAGCAACAATATAAACAACATGATTCAATATCTACGCAGCCAAGGAGTTAGATATGCAAATTTTTCGCAACACCGGTGGTTACAGGACCAAACAATAACCGCGGTCCTCGGAGACTTAGCTTGCCGTTTGTTATAAACAATAATTTTTGAGGACGTTCCCACGTAATTGGCTAGGAGGTCGCACAGCCTACAGTTAAGTCACCCGCAAATTCAATAGCAAACAGTATTGGTCAATTAAATCGTTCAGAAAACAAGAAGGGCTCTATACAAAAGATTGGTCGCAAAGAATTCTAATTTTATTCATAGACAGTATTTACTGGCGCGCGCGTGATCGTTGCAAGAAATTTAGAGTGCGGTGTTGCACGGACCGCAGCGAACTGGTTTTACTCGTTCCTTGTTTTGTTTTAATGCTCAAGGTAACCAGTAATCCTGAAGTTTTTGTATGATTACGGTGCACCGAATAAAAGTTTGAAGTATCATTTTCAACAACGCGGGGAAACAACATGGATGTTTCAGATTCGCCACCGATCTGGCCTTCTCCGCTGGGTCCAAGAGTTCCAGATTTGGATAAAAAAATTAAAAAAACTGGAAACCCAAACATGGATACCGCTTTAGCTTGGCTTAGGAGAGAATTGGTGAGTACCTTTTTCTTCTGTCTTCTGATATCGTTTCTCTATTTCTCGAGCCTTTAACATCGATTGAATATATTCTTTTGTCAGTGGTAAAATATATACACACGAGTATGGCTAATTTTTTTTTTGGACAGCCGGAACCAAATGATATCTCGCAAAAAGCAGCGATCGATCATATGTTCGTAAAAAATGAAAGATGAAATGGCCTACATAGTTTATCCCTAGTCTGTGTTCATTTTACGCGTTATGTCATTGCAGTTTATTTCCAAAGGTTCGTAACGAAGACTTCACCGAAGCAAACATCAAACCTTTTAATACATTGTTTGACGCAAGGGATTCCTCTCTAAGTGCAATTCTTTATCGAATTTTTCCGAATGCCAAGACGAAATTTTTTGTTCTTTCATTAACGTGTGATATTTGAGGTTTGTTTGGGTCTCTCTACAAGCAAACCATATACGAAAGAACTTTAATTTAGTTCCAAATCATTTCTGCAGATTTTACCTGTATCAGCTTCGAAAAAACTAGCTTTTAAGTATAATTTGGGATTTTTAGAAGACTGATCGCGCGTTTGTGAGTGAAAAATTATTTAGTAACTTAAACTACCGCTGTACTTTCAACTTGAATGTGTATTAAAAATTATGTTTTGTAACTATCCCGTTCGAAAGTTCGTTCCATGTTCCTGAGATGGTCGCGAAAAATTTCGTGTTTCTGCGATCAGAAACTGATAAAGTTCGCACATTCGAAATAATGCTTCGCGCAGTGCTAAGAACATGGAAAATGTTTGCCGCTCAAATTTGTATGAACAAACCTTACATTTCGCTCGCGAGTCAATTATCTTTCCAGAAACAGTGAAGGGCACATAAAGGATGTCGATAATGTTTCGTTTCTCACTAAAGAGGAATGTTTTTAATCAAAGCTTTGTAAATAATGATTGAGCAAAAACCGTACACTGCCGAGTAAATTTAATGAAATTATGATCTGTATTCAGCTACATAAAGATGTCTCAGTGATAAATGTCAAAATTAACCGAGTGCATCAATCATTTTGTGTGTGTGTTTTCTTCTCGATCTAACTGTCCTTCGAATCAATACTGCGAAAGCTGCTTAAACAAATTCTTTTATGAACTGTAGAAGATATTGGCACGATCAGACTTCTACTTTTATAACCATTTTTTTCAAATTTACACGTGTTCTTATATAGCGGTCTAATAATGTTACTTATGACGTACATTCCAAACACTTACATCACAGGGGCGATTTTGACCGTTACAGAGATAAATCGTTTTAGTTTACCAAATCAACCGGAAAATATCAAGAGCTAACACAATTAAGTTAGTTTATTTTCAAACGCCTTATCAAGTTGTCTTCAATATAACGAAAGAACAGCCAGTTTGGTTTCACTTCGTAGACATAACTGTTTTTGGCTCATTTGAATTCGATTTTCTCGTGAATATCTTTTGGGGTTTTAAACAGAACAGGTGGCAAAACATGGTCGTTTGGAAACTTCTAAATTGCCTAAAAGTCTGTAACCAGGAGTGGCTACTTAAAGTGCATTTACGTTCTTACACGGAGTGCAAAGTAACTCAAAGTGGCGCGTTGTATCCTTAACTTCAATTTTTTTTCTCTACCTTTTCATCGTTTTACAGAAAAAAAATAGAACTGATAAATTCACTTCCCGGCCCTCGAAGGGCCAAAAATTTTCGAAAAGAAGGGATTTGAGAGATTCAAGCCATGGAAAACTCATTTTTGAGGCAAATATCCGGATATTAGTTGTCAGAAGCTTAGTGATGTATTTTTAATACTCCTCTACAGGAATACAGGGATCAACTTTTAAGTGTAAATTGGTTTGAATGCTCAAATAGTTACGTAAAAGTCATGAAATCGATTTATGGAACTGGTATCGATATAGGAGACCCATTCTCGTAAAAGCCGGAATACAATTGTATATTTTTTGCAGTAGGGGAAAAAGTGCAACGCGGTATATTTTTGAATATGAATAATACTTGATCTAAGCACCGCAAAATTCATCAACAGCACCAGAATCATCAAATAACTTTGAAGTATGTTAGTGCTGACACACCATTGAACACTCGATCTCGAAAAGCAAGCAATAAATTATTTTTCTTACTTTGCCGGCTTCAGCACTGATTAATTACAAAGGTTTGGCTGTTGTCCTACAGCCTCGTTTAGGTTGGAGGCTAAGTTGTGATCGATTACTCATTTTCGTGCAGGCAGCACAATGCTTTGGATTTAGTTTTCTCAGTACCGTCGAGACATTCACGGAGGTATTTTAATTTAGAATATTAAGGCTTTTCTTTGTGGAGGCAGCATCGTTTTCGCGTGTGTTTGTTCACGTTATACAATATGTCTGCAAAATGAAGTTGGTAGAATTAGAAATTGCTAAAACATTTTGCAGGTACTTCAATATATTCGAGTCGAAAATTAATAAAGTGGATAGGACAGAATGGCGCACAACTCGGTCAGGGATGTTACAAAGGATCATCAAATTGGATGACTGCAAAGAGAACAGAGACAAAGTTGTACAATACGATCGCGAAGTCTCATATTAAGCAAAATCTAGAGGACAACCCCTAAGCTACACGTATTAAAAAATAAAGTAATATAGTTGAATTTTTCCACAAGTAAGAGAATGAACAGAATAATTAAATAAACAACGCACGCAATTAATGTGTGTGCACCGTCCAATTACACAGGCATGAAACGTCAACTGTCTCATTAGTGCTAAGACCGAACCGCTGATAACCAATCACGTTCGAGAATTTAGCTTCGGTTTTGATTAAGAGTTTATCCTTAGGTCGTGACATTAATCCCTATGGCAAAACGTACGTGCCTTAGGAGTCAACCGATTCAAGCTAAAATAATTTATATGTGATCAAAAGCTCCATTTAGCGCGTATACTGTTCGAATATTTGTTCGCAAATATTATCTGTTGCTAGAAGCGACGAATAGTTTACCCCCCC